TAAATAGATCTGAGTCTTCCTTCAATCACTGCCCTGAAAAATGTACACATTTGGTTCCCATCACACAAAGGTACTGACAGAATAATCGTTCGTTGTCAGCCTTTGATCATCAAAGGTAGTAAAATACCCATCTCAAGAGGTTGGCTTTAATTCTGTTGGAAGTATTCCCTCTGATTTTTAAAATTGTAAGCAGTCACTACAAGTTGACCTGAAGAATGAATATACAGGAAGAGTTTAGCTTGGTGACAAAATAAAACCCACAGCCATGGAATGTTGGTGCTGAAGGTTCACCGAGCCTCATCCAACCCCTTGGTTTTCTCAGTGTCCTGAGACATGTAGAGCTTTCTCAAGATCAGGCAGCTAGTGATGGCAAAGCCTTTGACTCGGGCTTGCTTGCCTTTATGCACACTACTGGCCTGCAGAAGGCTGCGCCTCTACCGGTGCTACTCTGTGTGGTCCCACCTTTATTTTTCTCACTAGAAGGCAGAGATATGGAACATGGTTCCCCACCAGTTGGTCTCCCCTGAGTCATACCCAGCCTGGTCTCTGTGGTCTGCTGTGGAGTTTCTCTTCTCTCTCATTATTGCCCTACCCCCTGGGACATCTTTAAACAGCTCACTTAACAGTTCTTGCTCCTTGTTCCCATCAGAAGGTCCAGCTGCTTCCTTGGGTCCTTCCCTGAGACAGCTAAATTGTTGGAGCAAAAAACAGCACTGTCTCACCCTGGCTGGTGTGGTTCAGTGGGTTGGAGCATCATCCCAGAAACCAAAATGTCACAGGTTTGATTCCTGATCAGGGTACACACCCAAATTGTGAGTTTGATCCCTAGTTGGGGCGCATGCAGGAAGCAACAGGTCAATGTTTCCCTCTTCCTCTTTCTTCCTCTCTCTCTCAAATCAATAAAGTCTTATCCTTAGGTGAGGTGTAAAAAAAACAGCTCTTCATTTTCATGAATAACATATGTATGAAGTTCTGTACTAGGCTCTTCAGGTAATATTAAGAGCCATACTTGCAATATACTTAGATAAGATATAGCCATTTAAATAGTTACACTACAACACCAGTCACACAAGTGCTAGGAGAGTAGGACAACAAATGAGATCTACCGGAAAAGGTTGACAGAACTGAGGCCTGGAGTATCAGGGAAAGATGTCCAGGAATGACTTGAAGATACATGAAGGATGGGTAGAAGCAAGTAGCTGATAAGATAGTAGAAGCAGATTAATACGGAGGCAATGAGCAAAGTCTCTGGCCTCAGAAGGTTGTTACTATAAAGAAAAGGGGAGGCAGAATCAGAAAGGGAGATTTCAGGTCAAAGTTGACAGACATTAAATGCCATTTCATAGGATTAAGGCCATCGATAATGGAAGATTTCATGAAAAAGGAGGAAAAGAGACAGGGAAACAGACACATGAAGAAATAATCGAAAGATGTTGACCAACTTAATAAGGTTTTCTTCTGTTACCTCAGACTCTAAGAGAGGGGAACTTAGAGACAACTTGGAGGCCTGAACATCCCCTGGGCAGAATGTTCTTCATGCTGTACTGACTCTCTAACCTAAACGTAGTGCTACTCCTCAGTAATGTCCAGGTGTTTGAGGGAAAAATCACCTTCCAGGTAGAAATTCTTCCTTAATAAACCCATGCTTTCCCCCCACCTCTCTCAATGATGGAGAAGGCATGGCTTCCACACTTTCAAATCAAGCTGCTGGCTCATAAGAGCACTCAACTATTATTTTAGATTCAGGATTTTCACTCGAAGCTATCCCAAGTCCTACATTTTTTATGCCATGATAGCCATTTTCAAGGAATATGCATAGAAATATCTTCATAATGAAGATGAATTCTCTCAAGTGAAAAAAAATTCTAGCACAAGAGGAAAATATTTTGCTTAAAGGACATTTTCATTGAGATAATATAACAACAAATTAATTTTCATAACAACAAATCTTTGAACAGTTCTAGTTAAGTTCTTTTAAACTCTTTTATTTCTCCTTCATATAATTTTTATAGTTCTCCAAGTGCCCTACCTTTTACTCTAGAAATACTAAGTATTTGCGATAACAGACAATATTTTTCCTTTACTGATGAAATTCCCTCCCCTCAATGAATCACTAACTAAGATTGTAGATGGCATAATTAACTTGTTAGAAGGTAAATGTATTGTAAACATTTTGGAGCATTGAAATATAAAAAATTGATTTGAAAATTAAAGATTATTCCTTGCTAAAGCAGCCTCATGAGAATTTTTACATATCAACACAATTCTAATGACTCACTCTATGAAACCGTTCTGGTGTAGGAACTATGCTAGAGATGTAATAACTGCCTCTATCTAGAAGAATTTCTTTTAAATTTTAAAATTCTTCATTTTATTAATAACATAGTTCATCTTACTCTTTCAAAAAGCTTATAAATTGCCACCACTTGACTACATTTGATGAACTGTTGTTTGGTATTTTTCTTTATATCTTAGAGAAACTACCTCCTTTCCCCAATAACCACTGTACTCACCACACAGGCCTGAAGGGCACAGCAGTAGGGTCAAGACCCCCAGGAGGTACAGGGCTGGGAGAATGCTCTGCAACTTGGGGGGCATGGTGCAGAGTCTCAGAGGTGCCGCACTGGGCTCAGCACTCTTAGACACCTCGAATCAAAATGAAGAAATGTTCTGTAAGTAAACATGAAAATGGTGCCTAAGCCAAGGAACTTGGCCTTGGCAAAGTCCCAGCACTGTGTCACCAAAAAGGGAGGGGCAGTGGGAGTGACTAGGAGACCAAGTGCTGAGCTCAGATCTGTCAGGGTGAGCTGAAAAGTTTTGGGAAGAAGAGTCTAGAGCTTGATGCAAGAGCCCTGTGGGGTTCTGTATGTATTTACAATTATAACCTCAAGACTTCATTGCTGTTGGGATGGTAAAGGTAATGAGTTCCTTTCTGGACATATAATTCCTCTCTGAGTAAATGAAGGCAAAAGGTACCAGGATTGCAGGTTCCTGGTGCAAGGGTATGTGGTGGGCTCTCCAGAAATTGCAAGGCATAGTATGAAAGAAAGGAAAATATCTGAGAAACAGTACTTGTTCAACAAATTAGTTTCTTCAATTTGGGGTTTGAATTGCTCATAGAATAAAGTTTTTAATGTAGAAATTTAAATTTCTTTCTAGTTAGCCTATGGTCTAGGCCAGTGATGGCGAACCTATGACACGCGTGTCAGAGGTGACACGCGAACTCATTTTTTTGGTTGATTTTTCTTTGTTAAATGGCATTTAAATATATAAATATCAAAAATATAAGTCTTTGTTTTGTTTTACTATGGTTGCAAATATCAAAAAATTTCTATATGTGACACGGCACCAGAGTTAAGTTAGGGTTTTGCAAAATGCTGACACGCCGAGCTCAAAAGGTTCACCATCACTGTTCTAGGACATACGCACGTACAGAGGTGAACGCTCATGGCTGTGCATACCTAGTCTCTTACGTAGTTAACCTCCTTGGTGGATATTTTTTACAAATTCCTGTAATACTTTCTCTCTCACAAACACTCTCACCCATGCTGACGGCTCTCTCACACGGCACAAGGATCATGAGGAAAGATGAATTATTGACTCTGCCTTTAGCTCAGATTTTAAAAAAAAAGTAACTGGGAAGTGAATTTACTGCAGACGCAAGGCACCCACCGCTTAATAAAATGTCCTGGGAGGGCGGCCACAGCCCCCACCCCTTGGTGCTTGTGCAGACGGGGGTCCGTCAGGGCTTGAAGCATGGGGCTCGGGGCAAAGGCAGATCTATGACCGTCTGGATGTGCCAATATCATCGATCAAGGAGCATCTTTGATCCTCCAAGCACCAGATGCGCTTCACTCCTCCTCTATTAAATGAGCAGATATAAGATTAATGGCAGTGGACCGGGCACTGCTCCCTGGGCTTAATAATAGAGCCACTCTGTCATTTCTGAGAGGACGTTGGCTTGCATCTGAGGTGCCTGGAGACTCTGGAGATTTATAACAGTCACGTTTGCACTAATAATAAATCCATCACAAATGTACAGACCACTTTAGAGTTGACAGAGTTCTCTCCTCCTCTTTTTTTTGGGGGGGGGGGCGTTATGCTCAGTCCAAATAGGTTACAGTCCAATTTCTTTCTTGTTTTCTTTCAAAATTTATTTTTCTCTCCCTTTATCGACAGCAACTCATGTTCATTGTATAAATATATGAAAGTAAAGAGGCAATACAAATTACCAGAATCCCATCCCAAATGTTGGCCCTGAAAAGTCTTTCTCTTCAGTCTTGAACCTATAATATTGACACCAACAAAAACAATATTTCTCTCTCTCTATATATATGTATATCATGCTGTGATACTATTTTAGAGCCTGCTTTTTAAACCTTTTAATACACTGTGAACATTTTCCCACGTCATTCGCCTTCTACAGCAATCTTTCTAATGTCTGCATAGAGTTCCGTTTTACAAATGTTCTGCCGCTGTCACTACTATCATTTTGGCACCATAAACAGTGCCGCAGTGGACATCCTCATGACTGCGTTCATTACTGACCACTTTACTGGGTTGCCTTCCTAGAAGCGATGGCTGGCTCCTGCAGACAAATCTACGGTCCCAACCAGATGAGTGTTCTGGTTCCCACTCCCACCAACCCTGTGTGTGGGGCCATTTCCCCTCAGCCTCCTCCCATTTGGGCCACCCCCAGGCTCCTCGTAGGAACACTGAGGTCGAGAGCAATCCAGGCTGAGGCCAAGGTCACGCAGCTACCATGTGCCAACACTTGGAAATTTAAATCAAGTGTGAAAGCCAGAAGGTGTCCTTGTCAATATTTAAAGGAAGCTTGTCTCAGGTAGCTGGGAGGCTAAACTAAATGCCAAAATCAGGATAGAATCTTAAAAGGCCAGCAAATTATCCATCAAGTATTTGAAAAAGAACACTTTCAAATACACAAGAATTCAATATTTTACTTTCTATGAGGAAATACATCAAGAAAGAGGAGAACATGAATTCAAAAACCAAAGGCAGACAGAACAGGAAAGCAAGTACACAGACAGGAAAACCTCCACTGCATGTCCAAGTGTGTGGCAAACACTGTCAAATCCCTCTCAAGATCACTAGAGCCCTCTGACTTTGGCACACTCTGGACCACTTCCAACCCCAGGGTCTGCTTTGTCTGTCCATATCTCTTCCCTGGAGGTTACTTCACACAGTCCCATAGGTGCCATTGGGAACCAGTGTCAGTGTGGTCAGGAGCATGCCTAGCTGGTCTGCAGTGTGGGTCAGATGTCCTGAGAGCAAGACCTATTGGCTAATTACCCAAGGTCTTCATTCTCCAGAGGACAAATCATAGTTGGGTTCCACACACATTCAGAGGGCAGTCAGCATAACTGAGCTCCTGTCAGCAACAATAATCCCCTCAGAAATGCTCCTTCTTTAAACTGGCCTCCCTTCTTCATCTTACTACCCACCCACTTGCCAAGCTTTCTGGGGCCACCTGTCAGGGAAAATAGGTACCCACAAATCCTTGCCTCAAGGGAAACTCAAAATAAACATGAAGCAAAAGGAATTCCTCATAGCAGGGGCAGGTAATGGCATTCAACACCATGGATAGATACCTCCCAGTAAGGGGGTTTCCCTAACAGTCCAAGCCCCTCTGTGAGATCTGTCATTTACTGAAAGCCTGCTCTACGCCATTGCCTCTTCAGAGTATGTTTGGGAAAATTAAACAAAAGAGGCCAATGTTAACCATTAGGTACTGTGTACTAGGGAAAGACAAGAGAGCCAGTGGAGCTGAGATATGAGTGAGAACCCAAGTCCACATGCAAGACCCATACAAAACAATGAATGTAGTAACTTTATGTAAAAACATTGTTGGGTTTGTATATGGACCTCATTGCAGAGGAGGCAAGGTTGGAGAAAGTGGTGAGTGGAAGTGAATAGAGCCTCCCAAATACCTCAAGATATAAAAGCAATTCACATGGGGTTTCTCCTTGTGTGTGGGATAGTAGCTCAAGGCTTTTTATTTGTCTATTAAAGAAAATAAGAACTAGATCAGATGGAGGACTTGCGAATGCACAGGGGGCTGCCACGTGGGCTTCACATTCACCGAGCTTTCAGAGTTTGATCTTTGAGGATGAAATAAGTGGGTCAGACACAACATAAATGCCTTCGTATAAAACCAAAGTCAAGAGGCAGCCTTAGCAAGTCAGAGAGCAAGCACTTGGGGGTTTAGAAAGGGTGCAACTCTCTGCCAATAGGAGAGAATGGACAAGACTTTTGGGGCGTGTTGACATTTAATGTAAATACTGAGCACCTGGTGATTTGCGCATGGGGAACATGGAGTAAGGGAATACAGGGAAATATAACTGACGCGAACCCAAGTCCACAAGCAAGACCCATACAATACAATTAATGTAGTA